CTCCCTCTCCAGTCCTAAGAGCAGTCAGGGTTTCCTGCCCTGTGGGAAGTTCAAGTTCCTCCCTCCTCCCTCCAGGTCTAGTGAATTCTCTTTTCTTTTGATACAAAGTCTTACTGTGGAGCCCCGGCTGGCCTACTACTTGCTAGACTTGGCCTCTGCGTTCCAAGTGCTGGACTGCATCATGCCATCCAGTCAGGATTTTTTTTTTAAATATGTTCTTTGTGGCGACAGATTTTCTTCTTAAGACAGCTATATCCCAGAGATTCTGGTAGTCTGTTCTCTTGTTTTCATTTGATTCTAGGAATTTAAAAATTTTCTCCCTAGTTTCTTCAACAAATCACTGATCATTTAAAAGCATATTGTTTGGTCTCCAAGTATTTGTGTCATATCTGAGATTAGTCTTTTTTATATTTTTTATATTACTTTATAAATAATAACATTCAAAATTTCCTGAGATTAGTCTTTTGTTGATTTCTAATTTCATATAACTGTGGTCTGGTATGAGGAAGGGAATAATTTCAATATTTTTGTATTTGTTAAAGCTTGGTTTGGGGTTTAAATTGTGATCAAATTTAGAAGTAGTTCCACGTATCAGAGAAGAATGTCTATTCTCTATCTCTTAGAAAGAATATTTTTCTGTGGGGATGTTGCTAAATCCATTTGACTGTTACTTTTATACAAGGTCTTACTATGTGGCTCAGACTGTTTTCATACTCAAACTCTCCTTAGCCTCCTGAGTACTGTGATTTACAAGCTTGAAGCTTCATTCTCCTTATACCTCTCCCTTAGCCAGGAGTACATATCTCGTTTTGTTGAGAAAGGTCTTGCTATCAGACTAGACTTAAACTCATGATAATCCTTCTGCCATTGCCTCCTGATGCTGCGATTGCAGAAGCACCATTATACTTTGCTTTTGTGTCTGGTTTTTTATCAATTCCATACTGTTTTGATTGCTACTGCTTTTTTGTAATATATAATTTTGTTCCATTTTTATTATACGTTGTTGCTGGGAATTGACAAGTAGACTTTACCCTTTCAAAGCACAAGTTCTAATATCACGCTACTCTTCCGGCCTTTGCCATACACATAATTACAATTATATATTTATAGAGATAGGGTCTTGTGTATCCTACAATGCTTTGAACTTGCTATGCACCCAAAGATGATCTTAAAATCCTGATCCTGGGACTGGAAAAGTGGCTCATCAATTAAGAGTCTGTATTGCTCATTTAGAGGACCCAGGTTCTAGTCCTAGCTCTCCATGATGACTCACAGCTATCTGTAAATTCAGTCCAGTGAGCTGATGGTTCTGACTTCTTCCATGGACACCTGCACATACCACACTCCATACACATAATTTAAAATATATTAATATATTGATTATTTATTAATTAATTTAATATTAATATGTATTAAATTCATGATCCTTGGGCTGGAGAGATGACTCAGCCATTAATAATGCCTGCTGCTCTTCCAGCATCTACATCAGATTGATCACAACTGCCAGGAGATCCAATGCAGTTTTCTGTAGTACAAAGGTATTCACACACATGTGGCAGATGCACAGATACCTAGACATGCACATAAATAAGAATAGAATGTTTTAAAATGTTCTGATTCTTCTGTCTCCATCTAAGTACTAGGTTATTAAGATTGGGCACTTGGATTATACCAGAGAGATGCCAGGAGACAAGAAGTTGGACATACAGTACAGAACAGAGGTAACCGAGCCACACAATGGAATGCAGATGAATAGAAACAGGCTAATTTGAGTTGATGACAAGCATAAGCTAAAAGGTCAGACTTTCATAATAATAAGTCTCTGTGTCAACATTTAGGGGCTGTCTACCAAGAAAGCTTGCTACAAATAAATGCAAACAGAATTTTTTAAAGAGATGGAGTCTTACTATATTGTTTAGGCTAGTTCCAAACTCCTGCTTTCTTTTCTTTCTTTTTGTTTTTGTTTTTACGAGGCAAGGTTTCTCTGTAGCTTTGGAGTCTGTCCTAGAACTACCTCTTGTAGACCAGGCTGGCCTCGAACTCACAGGACTGCCTCTGCCTCCTGAGTCCTGGGATTAAAGGCGTATGCCACCACTGTCTAGCTCAAACTCCTGTTTTTGTGGGATTCTCCTGCTTTAGTCTCCCAAGAAAGTGGAATTATAGTATCACTACCATGTCTAGCTCAAGAAATATCTTTAAATATGGTCATTAAAATAATTTCATTTCTCAGAGATGATCCTACAAAGAATGACCAGATTTAGTATACCATGAAAGTCTGGTGGAAACTATCTGGGTACTTGATGTGGCATTCCCCTCTGTATGATGTGAATACCACTGGTTAATAAAGAAACTGTGTTATGCCTTTGATAGGGCAGAGTAGAGCTAGACAGGGAAAACTAAACAGAATACTGGGAGAAGGAAAGCGGAGTCAGAGAGAAGACCTGTAGCCCAGCTGGAGCTGGGCAGAACTTTATCCGGTAAGCAATAGCTATGTAGCCATACACAGATTACTAGAAATAAGTTAAATTAAGATATAAGCATTAGCTGGAAATATGCTTAAGCTATTGGCCAAACAGTATTGCAAATAATATGTTTTCTGTGTGATTATTTGGTGGCTGAGCAGCTGGGAACTAGCTAGCAGCCTTCTTACTACAGGTGCTTAGAATTTACCACAGAGATGGGGACAGAGAAGGAGTCAACAACAACAACAACAAAAAAGGAAGATAAAGACTGAGCAGAAAAGGAAAGAAATTAAAAAATATTACAGAGATAAAATAAATTAAAAATATAAATGAAATGCTTGTGAGTGTATTAATTATGCTTATGGCATTATAGTCAATATGCAGGTGTATTAATTATAATCTTTGCATAGAATGTGGTTATGATCTGTTTAATGCTCAGTATCTTATAATAAATACACTAAGCAATGAAAAAAAGATAGGAGTTGGAATCTCTATACTACTTTGGGGATTATGGGCATTTAGAACTGTGTGTGTGTGTGTGTGTGTGTGTGTGTGTGTTTACATGTGCCCAGGAACATATGATGAGAGGACAGTTTTTCTGAGCTGGGTCTCTACTTCTACCATATATGTCCCTGAGTCAAACTCAAGTTTTGTGGCAGACTCAATCCACTGATGGATTTAATCTGTTCCAGTGTAGGCATTTTAATGTTACCAATTTCCCTGATGCATAAACAAAGACTGTCCTTTGTGCCCTTGGTAGTTTCTCTCCACAGTGTTCTGTAGTTTGCAGTGTACAAATCTTTCACCGTTTCTGCTAAATTTATTCGTAAGTGTGGTAGTGTGGGGCCTATTGCCTCAGTCATGAGTAGGGTGGGATAGGATGGTTTCTTTAGCCTATGAATTTGAGGCCCTCCTGGAAAGCAGCTTGAGACCAGATCTCAAACAATGATTTGGAGAGAGCATGCCTAGTGTGTACAGGGCTAAGCATTTGAGCTTCAGCTTCACCAATCAACCAACCAAATAGCCAATCAACTGGCAACTGAAAAAAGCAAGTTTATTCCTAAGTATTTTGTTAGTTGGTGGTATTGTAAAGAGTTGCTTTCTCAGTTTCTTTTTGTTCTAGGCACTTATTTTTTGTGGGGGAGCACACAATTCATTGCACTCGTTGTAAGGAGAGGGCCACTTGTTTGTCCCGGCTGCCCGGCTAGCTTACACCCAAAATAACCACACAGAAACTGTATTAATTAAAGCACTGCTTGGCTATTATCTCTAACTTCTTATTGGTTAGCTCTTACATATTAGTTTAACCCGTCTCCATTAATCTTTATATCACCACGTGGCAGTGTCTTACCAAAGATTCTTACTGGTGTCCATCTCAGGCAGAGGATCCATGGCTTCTCTCACTCTGCCCTTCTTCCCAGAATTCAGTTCTATCTTCTCTGCCTACCTAAGTTCTGCCTTATCAGGCCCAAAGCAGTTTCTTTATTCATTAACCAATGAAAGCAACACATGAACAGAAGAACCTCCTACACCAACTCATGGACAAGCACTGGGGAAACTAGGATGTTAAATACACAGGATCGTCTCTTCAAAGGGAGAGATGTATGTCCTATTTTTTTACTCAGGAAGCTGAAAATGGAGGTGGTTAATAGCCAGGTGATTTGTGATACCTGTAGGGTCAGGCCATACTTAACTGTCCACAAGAAGGATTGGAGGTGACTAATAGCCCAGATGATCTCTGTAGTATTTATATGTCTGAGGCCACACCATATCCTTCCTAGACTCCTTAAGGTAATACATGTATTTTTATAGAAGAAGTGACATGTAATTTTCGATGTGATTATGCCTCCTTGTGAGAACAGCATTGTGTTACAACAAAAACCTTTTCTCCAAATTGTACTGTACTTAAATATACATACAATAAACTGCCCTGTGTCAGACAGTAGAAGTTTAACCCAACACTGGTTACTGAGTTGTGTTGAATCAGAGCATGGATCATCAGTTGCCAGCTTTGGTAGTTGCAGAAACCCCCACAGTTAATCTTATATGTTGATTTTATAGCCTTCTATTTTTCCTTAATTCAGTTATTAGTCTTACTGGTCTTAGGTTGTTTATGGGTATGTACGTATGTATGTATATATATATGTTACTTAGAGCTTTACAACTTTACCTTTCGGCTTTTTGAGACATGATTTCACTATGTGGCCTAGGCAAGACCAGAACTCACTGTTCTTCTGTTTAGGGCAGCTTCCTGTGTATAGAGATCACAGGCATACGCCACAATACCTGGAAAAGATGAACACAAGGAGCTCTGTATGTAACATCCCATGGTGTTGCAGCGTGTGTAGAGGAGGGTCTTTGCCACCTGTAGCCAAGTCTGCACAGCTCCCTGTATGGGTACATTCTTGTCCCATACTTTGTCCCACTCATCCAATGCCAGTGAGAATACAGCGTGCTTTCCCTAAGATAAGGGTTTTGTTTTTGTTTTCTTTTGCTGTTTAACTCAGAAGTCTTCTACCCTGCTCTTACCACACACAGGAGAAGCAAAGAACCGAAAGTATAACCCAGAAAGTTTCCATAGGTTTAACTTGTATGGAGTCCCAACACCTCATTTTAATGATGGGCGCACGATGGCTAAAACTTTATATTGGCTCCATGAACTACAAATGTAAGTGTGATTATACCTGGCCTAGCAGTAAACCTTAGAGATCTAGTATATGTACTTGAATAACTACCAATTTAAAATTTCTTTATTTTTTAAATTTATTTTTAAGAGATATTAAATATATCAACACCATTCAGCATAAAATTCATAGAAAAAAATTGATCTTGCAATTTCTTTACTTTCACCAGCATTTTGTCTGATTCCTACAGAGAGAGCCATGATACTGTTTTCTTGTTTGTGCTGTTCTGAAATTGCTTCATGACTTGTTTTTGAGACAGGGACTCACTCTGAAGCCTATAGTAGCCCAAAATTTGGGTCAATCCTCAGTCTGCCAGTGTTAGAATTACCGGCATACTGCAGCTTGCTTTTTACTTCCTTTTTATTGTTGCTTTAGATTCTATTTTTATTTTTAAGTGTGTGTGTTTATGCACAATTTGCATACAGGTGCACCTCACAGGCTGAGACATCACAATATGCAATGCTTTGTTGATACCCATGGGAAACCTGCCCCTTTCTAAAGAAAAACAGAAAAGGAGTGGAATGGGGGGTGTAAAGGAGAGATGAGGACAGAGAATGGAGGAGAGGAGGAAGGGGAAACTGGTCAGGGTGTAAAACACATAAATAAATTAGTAAAATTTAAAAAAAAAAGTCATATACCTTTTTATTTCAAGAAGGAAGAATCAGGGCACAATCACAATCAGATAAAGGTAAAACCAAACTTCAACAGTATAAATTACTCAGTGTCTAGTGTATGGGTTCACATATACGCTCTTGGGCTCAACAGTATAAATTACTCAGTGTCTAGTGTATGGGATTCACATATACGCTCCTGGGCTCAACAGTATAAATTACTCAGTGTCTAGTGTATGGGATTCACATATGTGCTCCTGGACTCAACAGTATAAATTACTCAGTGTCTAGTGTATGGGATTCACATATGTGCTCCTGGGCTCCTGCAAAGGGCTTTGTTCTCTGCAGCACACACTGTTTGTCTTCTAGGCTTCAGCTGACTGCACTCTAGGGCTGTCACTGTTCTTGCTGGTCATTCCATGGTATTGGCACGTCAGTGCTGGGGTCTTCTTCTGCAACTGGGTTTCATATTCACCAGTAGCTCCTCCTGGGCTCTCTTCTTGGTGCAAATCTTCAACCTTCTTCATAACCCCTTTAATTTTGGGCCTTCCACTGCTATTCCGTCTGCAGTTTCACCAGTGGCCTTTTCTGGTCTCTCACAGTGCCAAGCCTCAGCTGCTTTCCATGACCCCTTCATGCCTTCAAATCCAGTACCACCTGGGAGATTCTTACATTAAACCAAATTTGACTGCCAGCATAGGGTACAGCCTTGGCCACCTCTGGAACACAGCTTCTGTGTGCTGATTCTGAGGAAACACTTCCCAGAAAATTTTACCTCAGTGGTGATGATGATGGTCTCCTCGTCCTCCTCGTCCTCGTCCTCCTCCTTCTCATCCTCGTCCTCCTCCTCA